AATTTAACGATATATGAAGGTAAAATAAAAAATAAATAAATATTACATTTAACTTTTAACAAATATTACTTAAAAAAAAGAATATTTGAAATTTATTACTTAAAAAAAAATTAGATATTTTCATGCGTCAAAATATATTTTATAATTTTTAATTCCTTTTTTTTCCTTCTAGAAAATTTAAATTATTTTGTTTTCTTTTGAAATTGTAAAACCTAAAATTAGGTAAATGAGAGAGTGAAGGAAAAATTTTTTTTAAATATTTCAGAATTTATTGAATTTTTGATTTTTTTCGTTAAAATAAATTCATTTTAATTATGTTCAAATATTTCAAAAAAATTATAAAAAAAAACAATTTTAAATAATCATTTAATTATTAAAATTTGATTAATTAAATGTTGACTTCTTTTTCATTTTTTTTTTTTTTTTGTTTTAAACAATTTAACTTATTGTAATTACAGGAAAATATTTGGAAACTAAAAATGCAATTATCTGTTAAATGTTTTATAAAAGTAATCAATTTCAAATAATCATTTAAAAATTGAAATTTTGATTTTCATTTACATTTTTTTTTCTTTTTTTGTTTAATGCATATAAGCATATTTTGAAATTATCAATTACTAATTGTTTAATACTTATAAACTATTTGAATCATTTAAACATTTATTATGAATAATTATTATAAACTTAAATACTTTACTTACTAAATACAATAAAATATTTTAATCAAATGACAATAGATATCAAATGAATGATTATATTAATTAATAATAGCTATAATATTACAACATATAAAGTATTTGGTTGAAATAAAAATTGCATATTTTAGTGAAAATTACACAAATTAGAAATTTTAAAATTACATCAAATTAATTAATACACAAACCCATTGATAGATTTGTTCCATTAATGATTGTTATTGTTGAATCATTGATACTTTCATTTCCATTCAATGAAATAATCAATTCATCTGTTATATTATTAATAATACTATGATTTGATGATATATTATCATCTAAATCATTTAAATGCACACCAATAATACAGAATAATATAAATAGGAATTTATCAGAATTGAATAAAGTTGCAAATTGCAAAGCATGCATGATACATGCGTGATGAAACATAAATTGATACGATATGATGGTTTAAAATATATGTATGTATATATGTGTATGTGTGTGTGTGTGTGTGTGTGTGTGTGTGTGTGTGCATGTATGTGTGTGTGTGTATGTGTGTGTCTGTTGTCTGTGTATAGTGATAAAAGGCTGATGTTTATCGCTAATGATGATTAGGAAAATTCATTTACCCAAATTCTTGATAAGATGAATAGATGATAAAAGATGATGAAGAAGAGGAAAAAAAGAAAGAGTAAAGATGATAAGATTAGATTGATAGAGAATAGAATTCATAAATATCATACATCATTATTTATGATATTTCTCCTATTCTTAATTGATTATTATAACGACATGTCACCAAATTAACTATATATATATATATATATATATGGTATATGTGTGACATTGAGGATATTGCAGATGTCACTAACATTATCATTGATGTTGTTCAATCCAATGACAATGTCATTTGGATGACGTTATTACTGACATCAGTACGATTTGCAATTATCATTGTTATCATTCATATTATTAATACAATAGCTAATTTTTTTTTTTTTTGATAAATTATTTATTAAAAAGATATTGATATTAACAAAGGAACTGATACTAACTAACACAAACTGTTACAGCAAACAAAATATTTAATGAAAAAAAAAAGGGAAGCATATCAATTTTTGTTTTGTTTTTATTTCAATTTTTATACATTTCTTATTCAATCAATCAATTTGATATTTGCTTATCACTGTTATCACTTTCAGCTGCAATATCATAAGCTTTCTTGATATCTTGTAATTCTGGTACAACTTCTTTCTTCATAAAATTAATTAATGCATCAATTTTTGCTTTTATTGCTGGAATAGCTTCCTGAAATAAAGTTAAAATTTTTAAATCGAATTTAAGTTATTATGTATTTCGTCGTTTTATTGTTAAAAAAAAATAAAAAATTTAAATAACAAATTTTAATAGCGATTAGTTTGCTTTTCCTTAAACACTTTTTTTCGTAATTTTTGCTGAAAATGAAAACTGGATGTTATGTAATTTCAAATTTATTTAACTTTTTTCAAAATTTTGAAGCAAAAGAATCAATTCCAAGCATTTTTCATTTATCTACCACTTTACATATGTCATAATGTATAACAAAAATTATAAAATTAATTAATTGCTTGATGAAATTAGTTTTTAGATTAAAAATATGAATTTACAAAATTAATTAATTAATTGATGAAATTAGTTTCGGGATTAAAAATATCAATTTATATTTTCCGATACTTTTTTCTTTTTTTTATTCATTCCAATAAATGCAGTATACAGCATATATGTTGTACATTTCATATATTATTTAGGGAATCAATTAATTAATTAATTAACAAACGACGATATGCATTAATCAAATAGTTTAAATTAGAGCTAATTTCATCAATTAATTAATTTTTATTGACAAAATAAATACGCTCATTTCCTAAACAACTACGCTTATTTAAAATTATTTCCCAGTGAGCATTTTAACTTTAATTTTGATAGAGTAAAAAGCTAATTAATACGAAAGTATTAGTTTAATTACTAGTAAGTTCAGTTTTTTTTTGAATTAAAATTGAGAAAGTAAGTGATATGAGAATTATCACTAGTACTTATCATTTTAATCACTACATTTATTTAAAATTATTCCTCATTAAACATATTTCATTACTTGCTCATAATAAATCCTAAAACCTTTACATACATTTAAAGCCTGGAAAACATGAATAAAGCTAAAAATTTATTGTCATAAAAATTTTCAATATTTGTCTAATTACTTTAATTAGTTTAATTAATTAATCTATCAGTAAAAAGATTTATTAATAATCACAAACTTCTTTAACCCATTGCTGAATACGTCGATGTGTTTCCGGATCTTTTAGTTTAGCTTTAGCTTCATCAAATGTTTCACGTACTGTTGGAGCAGCTTTATCTTTAATATAATCAGCACCGGAAACAATTTTACCATGTAAATTATTTACCAAATCATCAAACCAATCTGCTTCCGTCAAACATATTAGGGTAGTAAACGTGATAAACGTGTACGTAATAAAGCGTAACAATTCCATCACTGAAATATGACTGTAATTATTATCTTGCATATAAAAAAAAAAAATATTATTTCAATAATAATAATAACCTGAATGAATAAATTTATTATTAATCGTTTTTTTCGTTTTTTTTATATTATAATGATTAATCATAGAAATTATCGATTGATTTTCACAAATTATACTTAACATTTTACTTTAAAGATTTTCTTTTTTTTTTTTGTATTAATACAAAAATTTCTTCAAACATATATTACAACAATATATCTTTTTGAATAATTCAAGCGATTCCTAATATTCAATTCTTAATTAAAGTACTGATAGAATACATTTAATTCCTAATTAAGTCCTAATATAATACATCCAGTTATTGACATAAATCCTGTTATAGTATATTTGATTCCTAATATATGTCCTAATATAATATATTCAATTCCTATGTATTCAATTTATAATACACGTTCTAATATAATTTATTCAATTGTTATGATAATATAATGGTTACACATAAGTTGAGGAATTCAAACGATTTCTAATATTCAGTTCTCAATATCAAGTCTCAATTCAATATATGCAATTTCTAATATAAGTGTAACAAATGAAACTTTACAAAAATCTTATCAATTTTATTTCGTCAATCGAAAATAGGAAATGAAATGAAATAAGGGTTGACAATTAGGAAAAGAGAAAACTTAAAAAATCAATACAAAATGATAATGTATTATTAAAATAAGAAATGTATTAGAATTAAAAGGAATGAATTTTACCAATAATTTTAAATTATTTAATCGAATAAGAAAGTTAGAGAAGTGAAAAAGGGTGAATTAGATGCATATTGAAGACTAAATAAGTGATCAATAAATAGCAATGATGACATTTGCTTCCTATAATAATCAATCATTAATGACCAATGACCTTTAATGATCCATAATATTTTAATTAATGCTTCATTAATTAGCATTTTATAACAAAAATATTGCTAAAAGTTTAGCATTTTTACTCCAATAATATTCACAAAATTTTCCTACTATCTTACAGTTTTTTTTTTTTAATAAATTGAAATGAAATAATTATTTTTTAAAAAAAAAAATTTGTCAAATAATGCCAAATAAGATGTGTCAAATGTTTATTAATTTCAAATAAAGCCAAATAAATTTATTTAAATTTAAATTGAATTGAAAAACCAAACAAATCTTCGCTCCTTTTTTTTAATCTCATTTGTTAATATTTAACTAATATTTTGATTATTATTATTTTCATTATTTAAAAATGATAATTTCAGATTATAAATTTATTAATATTTTAATGTAATACTCAATTTATGCTATATGTTTTTCTTCTCTCTCTCTCTCTCTCTCTCCGTTTCTTTTTTCTATTTTTATCATTCCTATCACTTTAAGGGATAGGAAATATTGAGTTTTTAATTACACGTTTATTCGATAAATGTGTAATTTAATTCAATCCACTATTAATACAAATTTCTATTTCTTTTTTCCTTATTGTATTCGTATTTATTTATTAAAATATTTCATTAATATTTAATAAAAATGAGACGGAAAAAAATGCAAAAATTATTCAAATTCTTTTTTCTTCTAAAATTTGAAAAATTATGCTATCATTTCAAAAATTATCTTATCATTTTTAATTAATCGATCAATAAAAATTTTTTTTTCTCTTTCATTTTTTTCTACTATTAATACCAACTACTGGCTATGATAATTGATAATTTCATCAGGTACTGGCTATGATAATTGATAATTTCACTAATTACTGGCTATGGTAGTTGATAATTTCACTGATCTGATTGCTAGTTATGATAATTGATAATTTCATTTCAAATTTATGCAGTAGCTATCACTTTTTCTTCTTTTTTCCCTCCGTCCATTCCCTTTCTTTTCATCTGATATTTTCCCCCCGATATTTTCTCCCCCATTTCTCGAAGTTGCTTGCATTATTAAACATCATCATTCGGACCTTTTTTTTTACCTTTTCTCTCTCTCTCTCTCTCCCTCTCTCTCTACCTTCTTCGATTACATTTATGCAAATGTTTCTTTTTTTTTTTTTTTGCAATGTAGATCAAGCTATGATAGCAACAAAAATGAAAAATGCAACAAACTTTTTTTTTTTTTTATTATGTCAAACATTTATTCGTCCCCCTGTCCATCATCTTATCATGTTCAAACATAACAAAAATAAAAAGGAGAGAGTAAAAAAGCACGATGAAAAGAACAGTATAGGATTGAAAAGAAAGGCAATAAAACAAAAAAAAGAAAAATGAAAGGAAGAAAGTGTTAACTTTTTTTTGATTCAATTTTAACAATGATAATGTATTTTCAAAGAAACAAAACAAAAGAAAAAAAGAAGTAGCACATAAAGAGAGAGAGAAGAAAATAAAGATAACGAGGAAGGAAAAACGAGAAAAAGAACGAGGAGGGAAAAGATTTTGTTGCCTTTCTGGAAAAGAAAGAGGAAGAAAAAAAATACTTTTTTTTCCTCAATCAATTTGCATAATTTTCATATTCTCGAGAAAAGAAGATAAGTAAGCAGAAGAAAAAGATGAATGTAAGAGAGAAATTGAGGGAAAAAAAAGATCGAAAGATATTGAAAAATGAATGAAATGGAAATGAATGATAATGGAAAAAGTAAAAGGAAACAAAGGGAAAAAAACTATAATTAAACTCGTAATTAATAAAAATTTATGAGAGATATATTACAGAATAAAAGGAAACAATTAAAAAAGTATTAATGAGTAAAATTCGTAATTAATAATAATAATAATAATAATAATAATAATAATAATAATAATAATAATAATAATAATAATAAATTTATGAAAAATATGTTACCGAATGAAGGGAAAAAAGAAAAATATTAATGAATAAGATTCATAATTAGTAATAATAATAATAATAAATTTATGAATGATTAATACTAGAAAGACATAAATAAAAATCAAAAAAGAATGAAATT